AAAAAAATGCTTGAAGAAACTTTGAAAGGGAAAGGTTCTATATATCAATTCCAATTATTTATTATTGATTGTTATCGAGAACAATTAGAAAAAGCAAAGGATATGAAATATGTTATTATGGAAAGAAGCCCAGCTGATTCCATTAATATTTTTGCAACAGAGTCTTATCTTCAAGGTAAAATCACTGAAGAAGAATTTAATGATTTGAAAATAAAAACAGAAGAATTATATCAAAGTTATAACATCCCAAAATATCATGAATGTATTTTTACTAAGATAGATAGTTGTAAATATTCCATTGATGGAGTATTTCAAATTGTTAAACAACAAACATTACAATGTTGGAAACGATCAGAAAGTGCATTATTCTTACTATTTTGTAGTGATCCATTAATGCAAAAAGAAAATATTGAAAAAAGAGGAAGACCTGAAGAAAAAGATTATGATATTAATTATATGATTAGAATTAATAATGAATATGAAAAGTTATTTGCTAATTTTGCTTAAATAGTAAGGTATTTTTTTTTGTTGTTGTTGTTTTATTTAATTCATTTCCTTTTTTATAACTATATTGATTTCTTTATTATTTTATAATAAAAAGACAATTATTATTTAAGAGAAATTCATTTTTTTATAAAATAAAATGATTATTTTTTTTCTTAACTTTTTTTTGTTTGTTTTACTCTCAGAGGCAAATGATTCATTATGTTACAGACAAATGGATGGGTTTTATTGTTTAGATGATACCCTCTTTATTTGGTGTTATGGCTATAGTGAAGGATTTGTAATGAGATGTAGTTCTGGAACATTATGTAAATGTGGATTTACTCGAGAAAATCCTTGTTTGTTGAGTATGCAAGAGTCTGATGATTGTGTTGGTAATCCAGGAGATATAAAAAATTTAACATTTCAACCATCAATATAAAAAAGATATAACACTTTTATTAAGTTAGTTTTATTTATAACAATTTTCTTATTTCAACGTAAAAAATAGATAAAAGTTTATATCTTAAAAAATATTTTTTACTTCCATAAATCAAAGACAAATGATTACAATCTTATTGTTTATTTCTTTATGTTTTGCTGCAAAACAAATTGAACCAAAACAAGTAACACCAAAAAAAATTAAAGAAGTTCAATCAATTAATATGTCTGAATTTGGTTATTATAATTTTGATCAAAAGAAAGTTAAAAAAGCATTAAATGAGATTAAAAAACCTAAAATACCGCCAATGATTCCTATTGTAGCACAACCTCCTATTATTCCAGTTGTTCCAGTCCAGTCATCAATTACAATTACAGAAATTCAACCACAACCAAGATTTGTTCAAGCATATCCTACTTTAATGCTTTAATTTACACAACTTTTATTTTTTTATTCTAAAAGTTATAATAAAAAATAAATCACTTATGATAAAAGATATGATTTTATTTTTAAGCATTTCGTGATTGTTGTGTTAAATCTAATTCATCTGTCAAGGCAACCGAGAAAGCATCATTACTATTATCTCTATTTTGTGAATGGGATGAACGTGGTTTTCGTGTAAACCAGAAGAAAGCAATAACACTAATTATAACAATTAATAATATAATAATGATTATTATAATATACATTGTTGTTGTACTTGTTTCTTTCTCTTCAGTTTTAATACACTTTCCTTCTATTAAAGTATATCCTTTTGTTAAATCACAAATGCACTGATCATTTTCTTCATTTGGAACAAAGTTGTTATTACAAACCAACGTACATTGTTGAGGTCCATTTGCGGTATATCCATCAGTACAATCACATCCATTATTTTGTTTATTTACTTTAATACCTTTACCAAAACATTGATATTCACATGAACCATCTTCTAATTTTCTATAATTTTCAATACAACGACATTCTCCATCTTTCTTTATTTGAAATTCTTTACAAGTTAGTTCAGATGGACATGTAACTAATTCAACAAAAGTATTTCCATCAATAGAAATACATTTACAACTTTTTATTGTAGGAGCATAATAAAAGAGGGATGTACATGTATTATCTAAATACGCAGTTCTATTTATTACATTATCATCACCTTGAATATATTTATAATACCCATTTAAATCTTTAGTACATTCAATAGGATAGTTATAAATAATTGTATCTTCTACATTACTTTCACAGGAAGAAAGAATTTTACTGTTAATTGGAGAGAGGGTAATACTTTCTTTTAACATGTTAGATTCATCAATAAGAATTTCAACTTTTTCAGAATTACCTTTACATTCATTATCTGGATAGATTTCTTCAAGAATTTTATTTGGGTTCGGTTTCTCAGACTCATAATTTATACTAAATCTAATATACCTCTCTTTAGCTTCAAATAAACAACTATTAAGTTTATAAATAATTTGATGTCCTTGTTCTATTTGATGAACATAATACTGTGGAGATTCTTCTGCAAATACCAATGAAAGACAAATAAAAAAAGTCAACATAAACCAATTGAAAGAAATTGAGATCCAATCTTATCATAAACTCTCTTCTTATTTTTTTATACGTCATTCATTTTCTTAAAAAAAAAAA